CTGCTGCTGCTGCTGCTGCTGCTGCTGTTGCTGCTGCTGCTGCTGCTGTTGCTGCTGCTGCTGCTGCTGCCTTCAATACGAAGAGATGAATGCATGCTATCAGCAGCAGCAGATCTATCAGGGGCCCCCGTGGGGGCCCCAGAAGAAGAGGGTGCTGCTGCAGCAGGTGCTGCTGCAGCAGATGTTGCTGGTGCTGCTGCTGCTGCTGCTGCTGCTGGCGCAGCTGCTGCTGCTGCTGATGATGAGCCTGAATCTGACATCTCCTACAAACCCTAAACCCTAAACCCTAAACCCTTAAAACATAAACCCCTGTCGCAGGGCACAGCCCCCAGAGGGGATGAAGAAGCAACACACGCAACAGCAGCAGCAATGCTGCTGTTGCTGTTGCTGCTGCTGCAGATGGTGAGGTGTTGTTGCCGCAGCAGCAGGAGAATTCAGGTGTATATAGATGAGCCCTCGAAAGCCCCAACACAAGCTACAGCAGCAGCTGCAGCAGCAGCAGCAGCAGCAGCAGCTGCAGCAGCAGCAGCAGCAGCAGCAGCAGCAGCAGCGAGTTGAGGTGTACGTACACCTGAGACTGTGCAGCAGAGAACAGCTACCGCCTGTCTGCATATACTTTTATTTTAGCTGCAGCAACATGCGGAGAAACAAAACCCTAAAACTTCTCTTGCTGCTGCTGCTGCAGCAGCAGCAGCAGCAGCAGCAGCAGCAAGCGCATGCAGCCCCAGAGCAGCAGCACAGCAAGCCAAACGCAGCAGCCTGCAGCAAATTATTATTTTATTTTAATTATAAAATAAAAAAATTAAAAAAAAATAAAAAAAATGATTCGATCCCACGGTCAAGCTAAACCCTAAACCCTAAACCCCAAACCCTAAACCCTAAACCCTAAACCCTAATTCCTAAACCATGTTGCTGTGCTGCAGTTCAGCTGTACATACACCCCAAGCAGCAATAAAAAGGGAGAAGAGAAAAGAGAAAACATCTCCCTATCTAAAGAGAGGGACCGAGCAGGCTAGGGTTTAGGGTTTACAAGGGTTTAGGGTTTATGAGGGTTTAGGGTTTATGAGGGTTTAGGGTTTGTTAGGGTTTAGGGTTTACGTTGCTGCAGTGCTGCATGCATGCAGCTGTGGTAGTATCTACAAACCCCCATTCCTAGGGTTTAGGGTTTAAGGGTTTAGGATTAGGGTTTAGGGGTGGCGAGCTAGGGTTTAGGGTTTAGGGTTTGAGCTGCTGACGCTGCAGCAGCTTTTCTGCTGCTGCTTGGGGCTGCATGCGTCTGCTGCAGCAGCAGCAGCAGCAGCAGCAGCAGCAGCAGCAGCAGCAGCAGCTGCAGCAATGACGACACTGCAGCAGCAGCAGCAACGATAGGTTCTTCTCTACGGTGTATACGCACATACATATATATGGTATATATAATATTTACTTTATATATAAAGTATATATATATTATATATATATATATATATATATATATATATATATATATATATATATATATATATATAT